TGCAGCCCCATTTATATACATATATATATATATATATATGGCCCTGCGATGGACTGGCGACCTGTCCAGGGTGTCCCCTGCCTTCGCCCTAAGTCGGCTGGGATAGGCTCCAGCCCCCCCGCGACCCTAATGAGGATAAAGCAGTGTATAGAAAATGGATGGATGGATGGATGGATAGAGAGAGAGAGAGAGAGAGAGAGAGAGAGAGAGAGAGAGAGAGAGAGATGGCATGCCGTTTGGGAAATTAGATATATAATGAAAGTCTGAATATACAGTCGTATGAAAAAGTTTGGGCACCCCTGATCATGTTGTATAAGTAATTATTGCACACTTTCTGTAAATTCCATAAACCTCATTTCAATTGCTGATCCGAACAACCAATGATTTATAGGGAAAAGGAAAATCTTGAAAATGATCAGGGGTGCCCAAACTTTTTCATACGACTGTATATAATGAATCTCTATGGGTTTCCATAAAGATGGCAGTGCGCATAGACACAGCGGCTCCTTCAGGAGACCGCAAGAGTGAAAGTTTTGCCTATCCCAGACGCTCATTCTGCAAAATTTACAGCTGAGAGACTTTGCTGAACATCAGGGCAATGAACGTCGCAAAAATTGTGGCGATTGGTTGTAATTTGGACATACTACACTAACACGGAGTCCGATCGGAGACTACGCCGGCAGTTACCAGAGAGAGAAGGAAGCGCAACCGGTACAAATATAAACAAAGGAGGTTCAAACAGTTTATGGAGAGGGTGTGAGGAGTCCCTGACAATGTTCACTGTCCCTCAGCAGCTCCCCAAGGGTAAAGAGCTGGTCCACTGTTCCACCACCAGGACAGAATCCACATTGCTAGTCCTGAATCCGAGGTTCGACAATTAGTTGGAGCCTAGAGTAAACTTTCCTGGGGAGGCTGAGAAGTGTGATGCCCCGACAATTGGAACACAGTCTCCGGTCCCCCTTTTTGAAAATGGGAACCACCACCCTGGTCTGCTACTCCACAGGCACTGTACTCGACACCCACGTAACACTGAAGAGACGTGTCAGCCATAACAGTCCAACAAGCCTTCAGCATCTCAGGGCGAATCTTGTCCACACCTGGCGCTTTGCCACCGAGGAGCTTCATAACTACCTTATCACACAGTGCTTAACAAAGTAAGGTATAGACCTTACAAATTTAAACAGCTAAACCAACACGGACTGTACCCAACTGAGCCCCGCGGGGCCCCAAAGCTCGGCCACCAGATGCTCCCCGGCGAGTCCCCCCTGCCCCCCAGAAGGGGGCCCTTACTCCCTGTTCCAGGTGAGGTGGCAGCTATCGTTGTTGCGTTCTTCATCAGGGTCTCTGAATGAAGAACCCCTGGCCCCTGGTAGGGAGACCCTTCCAGGGGCCAGGGACATCCATCCATCCATTATCTATACACCGCTTAATCCTTATTAGGGTCGCGGGGGGGCTGGAGCCTATCCCAACCAACTTAGGGCGAAGGCAGGGGACGGGCCAGGGACATGCCATATATATATATATATATATATATATGTAGTATAAATGGAACCACAAGCACAGATGCTGTCTATATTCAAAGTGTACATTGGTCAGCACACAGGGAAACCGTGAATAATTGGACTTTGAGACCAACACTAAGGCTTACACTACTCAAATGAAGCTATCTTTAAAAATGGTAACAAACAAAAGGGGGATTTTAGTGGATAATTTCCTCTGTGTTACAACCCTCACACTGGAGCTCAGTATGGGAGTACTGTTCTTAGACATAACAAGACTTTTTGTACTAAAAAGACTGTAAAATACCAACCTGATTATACATCCTTGTAGATCTCAGACTGCTGAAACCATATCTACAATCTATTATTTTGAAAATGTCTTGTAGAACACTGAGCAATTGACACCAATATGTAATTTAAGGAAATATCACGAAGTGTTCTCTGAAACGCCTAAATGATAATGTGTTTTTAATGAGCTCTGGGATGATTTTCAACCTATTTTTAGCATTTTCACAGACATAAATTGTCTATAACATTGTTCCACACAAATCCACATTTCTTTCTTATTCTTCAGAAAAACTACAGGGAAAAAAAGCCTCACAAAATTATACAGTTCTTGTATGTAAATGACAGACTGAAAAGTCTAATAACTTACTTTGGGGACTTCGAGCCATAGTGAATCAGTCTATTAAAAAAAAAGTTTCTATGGCCAAACCACTGAAAGCAAAAAGCACTCTACTCATAATTCAAGTCGAATTTGTCATAAAAGAGTTGATGGCATTGGAACTATGAAAGAAGAAGGCCTAGTACTTACATACTGAGACTTGTCAAGTGATGCTATGCTAGCTGTTTTTAAGTTGTCCAGCAGAGCGGAGTCAAAGTCCTGCAGTCCAGCGCTGGAATGGACGACTTTGTCCTTCACGAAGATACTGACTGCCCGAAGCATGAAGGAAACAAACAGATGCATGTGGATGTAGTTTCTGGTGCAGTGAAGGCGCCTGCCAAGAAAACAAAAATGTTCCGTTATAAATTAATAGTTAGAGTTCGATAAAGAAAATCAAATCCAAACCAGCAGCATATGTGTAGAGGGATGTAAACAAGAGGTTTGACTCACATAGATCCTATCTGGCCTGAAGTTGAAAGTGCCATGCGCAAAAGCATTTTGATAAGAGAGGGAGTCCCAGGTTAGAAAGATTAAAAGCCTTCATTATTGATTATAGGGGTAATTGTGGTGACACTACTGGTTGATTGGAGCCCAAGGCTTTAATCCTATGTCGTCATCTTTCACCCTACATTTTTACTAACGATAAGGGCTGATAAAAAATTTACACATGTAGCATCTATCAGAAAATACATGTAACCAGTTTTGTACAATACACTGTACTCATGCACCTCTGCTGCAACAGGAAAATGAGTTGAGGAATAACAAATGAATAGAGCAGATGATTCCTCCATGATCCTATTTCTGTTTCTGTCTGAGGAAGTAAAACCACAGAGGCAGCACAAGCCTGTCCAGTACATCATCACATCATCAAGACACAGAGATGGAATTCAACTTTTTCCCAATACACAGCAATTTAGCAGTAAAGAAATTGTTAGTGACTCTGTAACCTGCTTCAATGGATGTATAAGGTTCCAACAGTGACACAGCGTGGTCCTTGCAGAATCTACTAACAGAAGCCAGCACAGCACCAAGATTATATCTGTCTTAGTAAGCTCTAAGATGTGTTTTGCTGTTCACAGGGACTGTAGAAGCATTAGAAACTGTTGGGGTTTGCAGTTGCTTCCATCTATTTAAACATACAGTATATTTTCATTCGAAGCAGTACTAGTGTTGCTGCTGCTGCATCTTATAATTATGGTGAAAAAGTCTTGCAACCTCACATTCAATGAGAGGCTAATCTATCTTAGGGGGCTAAACATGATGACAGTGAATTTACTCAACAGTTGCAGTCTGTTCACATGCTTGACTGAAGGTAAAGTTATATGATTCATTTATTGTTAATTGGCTCTTATGAATCAGTTAATCACTGTAGAGAGCACTGTGTGGCAGCTATATTTGCAGAAAGTGCCTGAAGAAATATGTAAAGAGGATGTTTCTCCTCCACCTTGCTTATTTTTCTGACATACTTTGCTGTAATGTGCTCATACTGTGTATTCTCTGTGTTGCTTTAGATAACATGGATATTACTAGACTGCTCAGCACTTTGGTAACCTAAATGTTAACTGTGATTTGCATAGGTTAATGTACTGCAGCTTGATTATTGAAGGTTTACTTTGGGTAATGCACTATTTACAGTGTCAGTATCTCTACAGAGAGACACAGAGAGCAGAAATAGGTGTGGGGGGTTGATAAAGAACCGAAATCAAAGACTTGTAAGCTGCCTTTTGATGTCAACCACAAAAGATATGCATTTGTCAAAAGGTACTAAGATTGCTCTTTGAAATTTTAGCTGCCAATAAACCAGAAGATGTGCTCTATTTAAAGTTTTCCTATTTACAAATGCACCTCTGATCACTTCAGGTGCTTTCCTTTCTGGAAAGTTGACATTCTTGACTTAACTTTGTACTTTCATCTCTCCTAATCAAATGCTGCAACCCACTCACAAAGATGGCGATATTCAAATCAGGAGACAGTTTGCTTTCACATCATCAAGGGAGTATTCAGTAATAGTGACAGTGTTCATTATGAAGGACTACTTTTAGATATATGAAAGATACATCTAAAAAATAAAAATAAAAAAAGGTTTCTTGTGATCTCACAGTCATTATTCTCCAGCTGCTTTAGCTTGTGTGAGACACCCGAGTTGCTTATAAGGATTTTTCAATATAGCTAAAACTGTGGTACACATTCACTGTTCATAATATTATTAAATAAGCTGTGGTTATCAACAGAACACTTTAATTTTTGTCATAAATGTTTCAATCTGTCTGTCACTGTCTGCTGTCTCACCCTCCCAAGCTCTAATTGTTAAAGCCAGGCCACTCCAGTTAAGTGGGCTTCTGTATTACATAGCTTCAAGTAGGCAGGGATTTCCAAAAGATTTTTGAAGTGGTTAGGATTGTTACAGCTACTATAAAACACTCTAATTAATCTGGAGAGCCTAGTGGAACTGCAAAATTACACGCATTTGAAACAGTGGCCTTCTATCTCATTGCATCTCTTTTAGTCGCATGTGGAGCAATGCTTTCATCAACATCAAACCTTTGATTTTCATAACTGAATAAATTTTTAAAAATTAAATATTTTATTCCTAAAAATGAAAATCATCTTTACTCATCTTTGACAGAGCTGATGTGAAGTGATCTATCAGCATTACTTTTAAATCCAGTCATGTACAGACACAAATTGATGAGTCACATAATTTGTGGAGAAACAAAAAAGCAAGATCTAAGATCACACAGCATACAGGGTTCAATATTCAGGGCACAGATCTTTTTTCAGACCAATTGTTTTTGCTCTGTCTCCAGTTTCCAGTAAATTAAAGCAGCGCTCATTTGTTGCTTTGATTTTATCTGACTAGTAATGACAACAATAATTGTATGAGTCCACAATTTATTTATAAGTTCCCATGAAATTTAGGGAGAGAGCAGAGAAGAAGCTCTGACTAAAACAACATTTATGTTACATCTGTATTCAGTAACAGGGAATAGCTTACTCGCCATATTGATATATATGATTGAATTTCCCTTCTGGGATGAATAAAGTATTTTTCATTTTCATTTCATTTTCATATACACTGAATTCTATTCTTTCCTGTAGACAATTTTCTAATTTTGCATGTTCTTTTTACCTTAGCAGTTCACTGGGAATAATAACTTTGAAGTGCACCAGTGAAACTCTCTCAATTCCCATTTTGGCAAAACCAAGAAGGAAAGCATTACTGGCTACTCATCCAGTTCTATCACCACCATCCCAAACGTGCCATATGTGTTACCAACCTTAAAGATGTAATTTTGCAATAACCAACAACAGGCATGAGTGTACAAATGTCCCTATTATGTAAACCTGACAAACAGAAACACGACTACACTTACCACAGATTACAGTTGATACTGAAATTGCATACACTGAGCATTATTTGTATTTGTAGTTTGCCAGTGACTTTAAGAAATTTCATCAGCAACCTCTCGGTACTTCCTTGTTTTATATTCTCCACTGAGGTGTTTATGAAGACATTTTTGTTTTCTATTTCTTATACTGAAAAAATGTGGAAAATCTGCAAAAATGGAGCACTGCTCACTCCTCCACTTTGTGGTGTGCTTCCCCAACCACAAGATAATGTATTAGCTACATAGACTTGATAGAGGGGTGACTTGCTAATGAAGCTGCAGTACTGAGCATGAAATTGAAAGGATATTACATTCTGCTGGATGCCAGACCTGTGCCACATCCATCAGCAGCAGCATGAATAAGTAACTAAACAAACTTCAGACGTGCAAAGCAATTTTATTGCAACCCATGGTCGTATTATTTATTCATTGATTCACATTCATTAATTATCGTGTTGTTGGAGTCAGTTTGTAAATGTAATGCAAAACCAGTCAGATTTCTAATGTGCTTCCAATCACACATGATTACACAAAGTGGACATACAGGTTGAGGTGTGTAGCTATTCTGGTGTGCAGTGTTATGACTTTGCACTGTGGATAAAGGTTAACCTACTACTGGCTTGCAAGGGCAAATAGCTTCAGCTTTTTTGTGATTTCTTAAGGCTGTACTTGCATGACCATGTTATATGTTGTGAAATTAGTAGAGCTGGAGCCGAATAACCGAATATCCGAATTTTCGGGTGTTGTGCTGGCATCCGGATAGCAATTTTGATCTCCAAATATTCGGCCACCGCCACCTGCCACCTGCCACCCGCCACCCACCACCCACCACCACCACCACCTGCCACCTGCCACCCGCCACCCACCACCCACCCACAGATATTAGGCTTAAGAATTGCTATGTGGTATTTCAGTGAACTGCTCTATTAGACCTAAATGTCTTTGTCAAGTAAAAAAGGAATCAAAAAATTCTTCTGAGTTTTAAAAATGGTATATATGAGGTTACAAAATCTTTTCATCAATAGCAACCCTGCACTGTCTTCTGTATGTGCTTTAAATTAACAGCAGTGACACAAAGTGATACAAGGTGTGCAAAATGAAAATATAGCTTCAAGTTGCACTACTTTGCAAATGGCAAGCTATTTTTAGGATGTCCAATGTTTAGATTTCTATTCTTTGTGAGCACATCCTTCATGTCCATTATGCATGCAACAGTGTGGGACAACAGCGTCAACCAACAACACACTCCAAGTTGAGTGTTCGGCATTCTGGAAGTTTTAAGTCCACTTAATTCTGCAGAATTGTCATTTTGTCATTTTTGCATACAGTACAATACATCCGCTACACAGGATTGCAAATACTAAGTAGCAGCAGGACAGTTGGGACACAAATTTAGCCATCACAATGAAAATTACAATGTCAGCCTGCCTGGGACTTTTCAAACGCAGCTGGATAACCTGTAAAGTGCAGGGCTGTCAGGAAATTAAACGCTGCTGTTGTTTTGATGTTCTGGCAACAAATGCTTTTCAGAGTACATGACAGGATGTGAAAATGCAGACAGAAGAGGAGACTAGCTCCTGCTGCTCCTTAGGCTCATGTGATTTATAATACAGTTTGTTACAAAAACAACACACCACTTAAGCAAGAAAAGCTCCTCTCTTACCTGAAGTATCCAATAATCATGATGGCCACTAACAGAAAACTGAAGGACACAGCATAGCCAATGGTATACATGACATACAGCCGCTCAAAGAAGCCTTTCTGTGAACATAGAGAGAAATATTTGTTATTCAGTCAACCCTTTCTCAGAATCACAAAATCCACACAAGCATGACTCACAGTAGCAAGGATTAAAAGGGCAGTGCAATGGAAACTAGAAGGTTCTCATAAGTGAAGTTTTTGGACTTCAGGTATAAAGAGAGGACATGTGTCAGCAATCCTTAATGCCGGACAAATGAAGGGCTTTAAATACAAAGTACAAACTCCTTCAAGAGTCAAGTGTCTGAAATCTAAGATAATGCCACTGTTTTTAAGTAACGGTCAGACTCAGAGCAGCCAGATGGCTGGCCTGATACTGCGAACCAAAGATGGCTTTAGCCCTCTGCCGAGTAGTATTTTAAATTTTCACAAACATTTTCAGGTCCTGTAAAGCATCTATATGTTTAGTGTCTACATTCTGGCAAAAGCTTTTTTTTTTTTTTTTTTTTTTAATCAAATAGTTTGAGTAATTCATCACAAGAAAAAGAAAACCTATCCAGGCAGATGCTACTTATGAGGATACAACACAAATACTTTCTTAGATGTGGTTTTCATAGATTATTACAGAGGCAGGAAATTTCCAAAACACAATTATGCAACAAGAAGCTGTCCACTATTCTAAAATTTTGTCTGATAATTCTTCTAAGATAAAACAAACAAACAAACACACACACACACAAAGAGAAGCTCTAGGAATGAACTGCGAACTTGTCATGCTCATTGTCATGCAGTCTGTGATGAAAGGTCAGAAGTTTACACAGCATTCATATTAAGGCATAATAAGCACGAAGAAGTAGGAGCTCGTGCTGTACAGAATGAGGAGCTGCTTGGCTGTTAAACAATCTTGTGGCAAGATGTCAATTTTTAGCTCTACGTTACAAACCACATGGTGTCTGTACATAAGATGAAATACACGCTGCTACCAGCAACTGATATATTTTTTTCAAAGAACGCCAGTCACTACTGCTACATATGAAAGAGTCTGTAGGTATACAGCGTGTATGAGTCAGACAGGAATAGGTGGTTAACCAGAGCAGCTGCTGCAACAACGTTTCCCAGCCATACTTACTCTTGCTTCCTCGTCGCTGAAAGGCTGAAGAAAATGTAGACATTCTGAGTAGTTGGTCCATGTTTTGTTCCACTGGTCTACAAATACCCAGGAACCATTGACATCACACTTTCTGTAAGCATGTCCTGTAAACACATACATGATCTGAACATGAACAACACATTTCAGAAAAATTTGGGTGCTTAAAAACAAAGAATTTTATACAAAACATATAAACAGCTTCACAATAATCCTACACTGGTATTCTGTATTTTGTTCTCAGGAAACAGTATTTGGGGCACCTGTCTTTCAGGCATATAAAATCAAATTTATAGGTTAAATTTACACAGGTGATGGAAAACTTTTCACAGTAAATCCCCAAATTACTCAAATCCATACCAAATTTAGATTTATAGTGAATTATTATTTAAGAAATTGGACATGACATAAAGAGGTGACAAAAGGCAGTAAGACATTGTGTCGGAGACATTGCTGTTAAATTTGAACTACGGTATTTCTATGTCTCTAACATCAAGATCAGGTCAACACTCAATGTTGGTATTGTTTTCCGTTAATTACTGTTAAACCTCTTTGGTTGTAGACTGCCTGATGTTGTCCTCTAGAATGTTAATATTTTCCCCTTTTCTTCATGATATTGGTCTGATCTTCATGGTATTTTGACATGAACGAAGCGTATATATATATATATATATATATATATATATACATACAGGGAGTGCAGAATTATTAGGCAAATGAGTATTTTGACCACATCATGCTCTTTATGCATGTTGTCTTACTCCAAGCTGTATAGGTTCGATAGCCTACTCCCAGTTACGCATATCAGGTGATGTGCATCTCTGTAATGAGAAGGGGTGTGGTCCAATGACATCAACACCCTATATCAGGTGTGCATAATTATTAGGCAACTTCCTTTCCTTTGGCAAAATGGGTCAGAAGAGGGACTTGACAGGCTCCGAAAAGTCAAAAATAGTGAGATATCATGGAGAGGGATGCAGCACTCTTAAAATTGCCAAGCTTCTGAAGTGTGATCATCGAACAATCAAGCGTTTCATTCAAAATAGTCAACAGGGTCGCAAGAAGCGTGTGGAAAAACCAAGGCGCAAAATAACTGCCCATGAACTGAGAAAAGTCAAGCATGCAGCTGCCAAGATGCCACTTGCCACCAGTTTTGCCATATTTCAGAGCTGCAACATCACCGGAGTGCCAAAAAGCACAAGGTGTGCAATACTCAGAGACATGGCCAAGGTAAGAAAGGCTGAAAAATGACCACCACTGAACAAGACACACAAGCTGAAACGTCTAGACTGGGCCAAGAAATATCTCAAGACTGATTTTTCTAAGGTTTTATGGACTGATGAAATGAGAGTGAGTCTTGATGGGCCAGATGGATGGGCCCGTGGCTGTAAAGGGCAGAGAGCTCCAGTCCGACTCAGACGCCAGCAAGGTGGAGGTGGGGTACTGGTATGGGCTGGTATCATCAAAGATGAGCTTGTGGGGCCTTTTCGGGTTGAGGATGGAGTCAAGCTCAACTCCCAGTCCTACTGCCAGTTTCTGGAAGACACCTTCTTCAAGCAGTGGTACAGGAAGACGTCGGCATCCTTCAAGAAAAACATGATTTTCATGCAGGACAATGCTCCATCACACGCATCCAAGTACTCCACAGCGTGGCTGGCAAGAAAGGGTCTAAAAGAAGAAAAATTATTGATATGGCCTCCTTGTTCACCTGATCTGAACCCCATAGAGAACCTGTGGTCCCTCATTAAATGTCAGATTTACAAGGAGGGAAAACAGTACACCTCTCTGAACCGTGTCTGGGAGGCTGTGGTTGCTGCTGCACGCAATGCTGATCATGAACAGATCAAAACACTGACAGAATCCATGGATGGCAGGCTTTTGAGTGTCCTTGCAAAGAAAGGTGGCTATATTGGTCACTGATTTGTTTTTGTTTTGTTTTTGAATGTCAGAAATGTATATTTGTGATTATTGAGCTGTTATATTGGTTTCCCTGGTGAAAACAAATAATTGAAATGGGTATATATTTGTTTTTTGTTAAGTTGCCTAATAATTATGCACAGTAATAGTCACCTGCACACACAGATATCCTCCTAAAATAGCTAAAACTAAAAAAGCCCTGCTCCAACTTCCAAAAATATTCAGCTTAGATACTAATGAGTGTTTTGGGTTAATTAAGAGCATGGTTGTTGTTCAATAATAAAATTAATCCTCAAAAATAAAACTTGCCTAATATTTCTGCACTCCCTGTATACATGTACATATATATACATTTGACGGTAAGAATGGGGTTCTTGAAAGGAAAATGCTTCTTTCACCAAAATGAATGTTACATTTCCTGTGTCCAAGCAACTGTTTTGACCACAACATTGACCTTCTTTGTCCAGGTAATCTTTTGCAAAGGCTCTGGGATTTTTATGTGTCTGTCCTGCAGAAGTGGAGTTCTCTTTGGTGTTCTTCCATGGAAACATGCCTTCTGCAGTCTCTGCTCAATTGTCTGTCTTGAGATGTGGCATTTAGAACTGCTTAGATTCATCAGGGTGGCCTTGCTGGTCCTCCTTGGATTCTTTTTGGCTATTCATACTATCTTTCTTATCAGTGCAAGGCTCACTTTTGATGTCCTGCACACCCCTTGAGATTTTTTACATCAGGGAACTCCTTGTGCTTTTTGACTATACTCTTCTCTTCCGGCTCTCGACGAAGGCGGACGCTTTGTCTCTTGCTCCCTCCCGGCCCTTATCTGCCCTGCTTGCTACTCTTTGTCCTGTGCTGTCTTTGTCTGAATCTATCAGAGCCTCTCTCTGCATTTCACTCC